CCTCCTGCAGCATAGAGGCCCCGCCCTCCGACCAATGAGTGCTCATGAGGGCCCCATAAGGCGGGGCTGACGAGAGCTGGGAGGGCCTTGGGCGCCCCTCGCCACGTCCACAAAGGAAAACGCTGCCCACGAGGCTCGGCCCCGCCCCTCCCCTAAGGAGGCCTTCCCCGAGCAGCCGGGTTGGGCAACGCGGGAGCTACGCAGCCGGGCGAACTACAACTCCCGGCAGGCATCGGGATGCCCTGCCTAACTACCTCCAGTTTGTTCTAGCTCCAAAGCCTCACGGGAGTTGTATTTTTCTCCTTCCCTTTGTCCGCCTGTTTTAAGAAGGGAACCAAGAGGCCAGAAGAGGGATTCGTTTTCCTCAAGGACAGTTCTTTTCCCCTCCACCAGGGAGTCAGGTCAGACTCCAGCCAAGAATTCGTCAAAATGCCTGGCACAGTGTAAACATTCAGTGAATATTTGTGAAATTTATTAATTAAAAATACATGACTTGGTATATAAAATTGGCAGATTCCACCATGGCAACAAGTTAGCCTGAGGAGAGATTTGAAGCCCAAGGCATGCACCATTTATTCCCCCTACATTTCCCTAAAAAAAGTAAACTATGAGAACACAATGATTCGGGCCCAAACCCATGTTATACGTGGAGGTGGAAAAAAGCCATACATATCAGGAGGGGAAACTGAGGCAGACCACAGGAGAAATCCAGAGGGAGCACATCGAGTCCTTCTGGAGGCTCAGAAATACCAGGATTCCTGGAGGTCTCACAGCATGAAAAGGACCTGACTACATTAGCTGGTAGCAGCCAGGATGGGGGACGATCAGGCAGTTGCTGGGAACGCATTTATATCCTAAGATTCAGCATCTTTGGACAGGCCAGGAGTGGGCAGGAGGGCCCCTATATCGTCCCCACGGAAAGCGATCCAAGGGGCTGAGGAAAGAGGAAGAGAGGAGATAATCAGAATCTCTGAAATCCTCTGGGTCTCTGCCCTACTCTGTGGGTTTCTGTCCCCCTCTGAGTCTGTTTCTCCCCTCCAGTTTTCTGTCCCAACCTCTCTCTGAGTCTCTGGCCCTCTCTGTCTAGATTCTCTGTTCCCTCAGGAATGTGTCTCCGTCTCTTTGGGGGTCTCCCTCCCTCTGAGGCAGTTCCCTCTTCCCGTCCCACACCTGGCAGTCCCTTTCTCCTCCTCCACAGCAGAGCTCCTCCTGCAGCCACTGTCATGAGCAGTAGGAAGCCGATGAAGATTCCAATCACTGGTACCGAGGACTTGGCTGGTGATTCTGCAGCCAGAGAATGTTGGGAGATGTTTAATGGACCCTCCATTGCATCTGAGTCAGGACAGGGGACTGAGGGTTCTCAGTCCCTCCCAAACTCCCAGATCTCAGCACCAAGTTTCAGGCACAGGGTGTGGGTAAAGGAAAGGCCACTGAGATGATGCTCTCAGTCAAGAAAGCCCCCAGCTTGGATGTAAGAACCAGCCACAGCAAGGCGGTGGGCGGGGAGTGTCTCAGTCACTCTGATCAAGGGACCTGTAGCAGCAGGGTGAGTCGTGTTCCAACTTGAAGAGGAGGGGCGGGCACAGAGCGGTAGAAAGTCAGACTCATAGAGGGCTGGCAGCAGCAGACAACGGAGGGTCAGATTCCACGAATACTAGCAGCAGCAGGACGGAAGGTGGTCAGACTTAAGGAGGACTTCCCATAGTGGTTAACGGGTGGCCAGACTCAATGAGGCCAGCAGCAGCAGGACGGAAGGCAGTCAGACTTGGGGAGGCCCAGCAACACAGGACAAAAGGCTGTCAGGCTTTGGAAGAACTGGCAGTGGTGGGGCACAAAGCAGTCAGGCTCAAGAACTGGCAGCAGTGGGGTGGAAGGTGGTCAAACTCAGGAAGCTGCAGGAGAGGGAGAAAAGGCAACCAGAAGTAGGGAGTATCTTCCCCCAGCGGGACCTCACCCAGCTCCACAGTGAGGGGCTGGGCCAGCCCCACGTGCTGCACCCAGCAGCGGTACTGGTGCTCATCACCGCTTTTGACTGTTAGTGATGACCAGGCGTAGAAGGAGCCGTCGCCGTTGGGGACAACGTCGCCCTCACCAGAGCCAGCTGCCAGCCCATTCCGTAGGAATCGCAGTTGCAGCTCCGGTGGGTAGAAGGAGAAGGCGCTGCAGGTGAGCACGGAAAAGCCCGGGTTGCCTGGTCGGGCCTTCAGGCGCATGGAGGGTGGCTCTGCAACAAACAGGCAGACAGGCCTGAGGCCCAGGCCCACGAACTCCCAGGGCCAGAGATACAGCAGTGAACAAGACAGACAAAAGTCCCTGCCCTCATGGAGCTTATGTTCTAATGAGGGAAGAGAAACAAGTATTTGTGTACATATGAATGTAAGGGAAACAGACTAAGAAAGTGCGGTGAGGGAAAATAATACAGATCCTACAGTCATTCAAAAGACAGCAAGAGGATATGAAAAATGTCATGCCAGCACATTTGAAATTTAAACGAACTGGACAAATTCCTGAGAAACACAACCTTCCAAAACTGATGGAAGAAGAAATGTTAGATGTTAAAAATGTCTTATAACTATTTAAAAATTTTAATCCCTAATCTAAAGCTTTTCAACAAATAAAATTCCAGGTCCAGATGACATCACTGGTAAACTCTTCAAAACAACTAAGGAAGAAACTCTTACACAAATTCTTCTATGGAACAAAAAAGAGGAAACCATTCCCAGCGTATTTTATAAGCCAGTGTACCTTAATAACAAAATCTCACAAAACATAAAAAGAAAGGGAATTTCAGACCACTATCTCTCATGAAAATAGACTCAAAAGTCTCTAAAAATATGAGAAGATAGAATCAAGCAATTTATATAAAGGATAACACATTATGATCAAGTGAAGCTTATTCTAGGAATTTTAGACTGGTTTAACATTTGAAAATCAGCTAATATAACTCATCATGTTAGACTAAAAGGGAAAAAGCAAATGGTCATTTGATAAAATTCAGCACCATTCAAAAGAAAACAAAGGGGGAGGGTATAGCTCAGTGGTAGAGTGCCTGCTTAGCATGCACCAGCTCCTGGGTTCAATCCCCAGTACCTCTGTTAATAAATAAATAAGTAAATAAACCTAATTACCTCCCCCCACAAAAAACAAACAAACAAACAAACAAAAAATAAAAGACAAAGCCCAAAAGACTCTCAGAAAACTAGGAGTTGGAGGAAACTTCCTTAACTTGACAATGGGCATTAGCAAGGAACCTATAACTAACATAATATTTAATAGTAAAAAATTGAATGCTTTCCCTGTGAGTTTGAGACTATAAGATGTTCATTATCACCACTCTGTTCAACACTGGGGATCCTAGCCAGTGCAATAAGATAAGAAAAAAATGAGGTATTAAAACTAGAAAAGAAAATAAATAAAACATGTCAAATATGACATAATCCAGAAGAATCTAGGAAAAAGTACCAGAAATAAGTGAATTCAGCAAAGTTACTAAATATAAGAAAATATATAAAAATCAATAGTAGTTTTTACAAATCAATAGTATTTCTATAAACTAGCTACAAACCATTAGGAAATGAAGTTTTTATTTATTTGTTTTGTTTTGGGGGGAGGGATGTACTTAGGTTTATTTATTTACTTACTTTTTTTTAGAGGAGGTACTGGGGATTGAACCCAGGACCTTGTGTATGCTAAGCATGTGCTCTACTATTTTGAGCTATACCCTCCTCTGAAAATGAAATTTTTAGAATTACCGTTTACAGAAGCATCAAAAAATGCCTAATACTTAGGGGGAAAAAGTGTAACTAATGAGGTGTAAGACCTCTACACTGAAAACTACAAAGTATTACTGAGAGAAATTAAAGGACTTCTAAACAAGTAGAGGGATATAATGTATTCATGGGTTAGAAGAGTTAATGTTAAGATGTCAATTCTCCCCACATTGATCTATAGATACAATTCAATCACTATCAAAATCCCAACAGAATTTTTTTTTTGGCAGAAATAGACAAGCATGAATGTATCTAGAGATGCAAATGACACAGAATAACCAAGGCAATAAAGCTGAAGAACTTAATTGCTAGATGTCAAAACGTTCTCTAAAGCTACACTGATCAAGAGAGTTAGGTATTCATTCAATTTTAGTCCAGTTGAAGCAGATCCATACCTAATTGAGGAAAAAGTTTTCACTGCAGTTCACTGGGGGAAAGGGGATGGTGCTCTTGCAACAAATGATGCTGGGTCAACTGGATATCCATGAGGGACAAATACACCTTGATCCTTACCTCATAACACTACACACAATTAACTGATCATGGATCATATTGCTAAATATGAAAGTGATTTACCAATCAAGCATCTAAAAGACGACATAGGAGAAAACCTTCATACTTTTGGGAGAGGAAAGATCTTAAAGAGAACACACAAAAGAGCTATAGAATAAATGATTGGTAAATTGATCTTCACTAAAATTAAGAACTTTTGTTCATCAAAAGGTTTCATTAAGAGAGTGAAAAGACAAGCTGCAGACTGGGATAAGCTATTTCCAATAGAACCAACTGACAGATGCAAATACCCAGAATATACTAAGAATTCTAATAAGAAAAAAAAAGACAAAAGTTCCAATTTAAAAATGGGCAAAAGACTCAAACAGCCACTCCAATAGGGAAGACACTCAACTTGCTGATAATGTGAAAGAGTACTCAGTATTGCTAGTTATCTAATCCTTTATCTGATCTTCATGTGTCATCAGATAGATTAAAAGTGAAATCACAATAAGACATCACTACATACCCAATAGAATGGTTAAAATTAAAGACAATATCAAATTCTGGCAAGCCTGTGGAGCAACTGGAATTCTCATATGCGCTGGTGGAAACATAAAATTGGTTCAACCACTTTGAGAAAATGTTTAGCACTACCTCCTAGAATTAATCCTACGCCTACACTATGATGTGACAACTCCACTCACGGGTATTTAGTCAAAATAAATGAAAATATATATTCATCAAAAGATGTGTACAAGAATGTTCATATAAGCTTTATTCTTACTAGCTCCAATTGGAAATAAGCCATTTATTGACAAACTGTGATGTGAAACATGCAACGGAATACTACTCAGCGATAAAAACAAGTGAACTACTGATACACCCAACATCAGCGATGAGTCTCAAGACACACTCTTGAGTGAAAAAAGCCAGACATGAATGAGCATATGCTCATAGTCATAAGAAGTTCAAAATTAGGCAACACTATCATGATAGAAATCAGTGAGGGGACACAAGGAAGTCTCCGGGGTGCTGCCAGTGTTCTAGGTCTTGATCTGGAGGGCAGGTTCATGGGCATATATAAAAATTAATCAAGCTGTGTACTTTAGGTAAGTAAATTACACTTCAAGAAAAAAGAAAAAAAGAAAGATGCTATAATGAATGAATGGACAAAACAATGGCATGAGAGACAATAATGGGGGTCAGATGGGGGCACAGCCAGGGTGGTCAGGGAGGGCCCTGCTGAAGAACTGACATCCAAGGTCAAATCTCAAGCACGAGAATAACCCAGTCATGGCAGGATCCCAAGGAAGAGAATTGAAAGTAGAGGGAACAGCAGGTGCAAAGGCCCTGAAGAAGGAAAGAACCTGACATATTGGAGGAAAGGGAGAAGGCCACTGTAGTTGAGAGCATTGTGAAATTCCAGTGGCTGAAAGCACAGACCATGTGGAGACAGCAGGCCTTGGATTAGAGTTTGGATTTTAGTCTAAGACTACTGGGAATCTATTGGATGGTTTTAAGCAGCGCTGGGAAGGGAGCTCAAGTTTTTTAAACATTTTTCTGACTGCTGGGTAGAGAATGGTCTGTAATGAGGGCTG